CCCCCCCAAACTCCCATCTACAGTCCGAGTACTTCGTAGTACCCATCCTATCCAGGAAGGGACTGATAGACTGACGAATGTCACGCCCTCTGTCTGAGTGATCTGCTACTAATCCAGTCTACTGTACCAATGCACGCTCAACACTGAGTGTCTTCTTGGTCTTTTATTCTCATTTCATCTTCATCCTCATTCACGTCACATTGGTAGTACTACCTAGTTCACTCGTAAGTATCTGTATGTATTGCATGAAGTGGCGTGCATGGTTGTCCCAGAGTGCTTCTAGGGACTGAACTCGATCGAGCAGGTAGGGATCGCTCTCCTGGCCTGCCCCGTGCATAGATTCTTTCATAGTCATTCAGTATTGAAGGTCGCGGCTGGTTAATCAGCACGCGAGCCCAAATGGTATTCTATCAGACACATAGCAATGGCACTGGAACATTCGTAATCACTTGTGGGTTTCCACAGAGAACTTCAAACTCAAACATCTCCGATCAGCCCTTTGCAGTGCCTCTGGTATTCATGTTCCCCTGACCGTCATTTGCCGTCACCATTGCCCATCTCCCACCCCTGCTAAGAGAGCAAGTTCTTCACGCTCGGGCTCGCGCTTGCGCCTAAACCATCGCGCCGCTCTTCCCTCCTGTCGAGGGTTCCCGCGGATGCAGAGGGAGTCAGCGGTCTAGCCTGGGGACTCTCTGGCACCGGTCTAGGTCCAAACCTTGGCGTCCCTGTACTTGTCAATTCCATGCTTTCATGGCGAGAGTGTGGTCGTGTAGCTGTCCCGGCCTGATCTGTAGCGGCTTGCGCAATCTGAGCCAATGATTGTGCAGAAGGGGATTGGCGCATCGGATGAGGTGGTGGTGGCACCGTCGTGAAAGGAGGAGGGTGTCCCGGCCTTGCATAGCCGTTGACAGGCGAGCCTAAGCTAGGCTGCCGTGAAGGTTCGGGGTATGCTCTCGACAATAGACTGGACGAGCCGAGCCCGAGATGCGGTGACGGGACATGAGGACGGTCAGACGTATATCGCGGAGGTGAAAGTGGTCGAGCGACTTGTGGTGGAGTAGCAGTCGATGGTGGCACATGATGATGAGGTGGCAGAGGTGGCGGTGGATGTCCATACGGTGCTGGCGGTGGAGGTGAATGTTGAGGATGATGACCTGGCCCCGGTGGTGGCCCTGGTGCATACGGCGGAGGATGGCCTGGTCGGCCATATGGTGCGCCATACTCGGGCGGAGGAGGCGGCCGGTACAGAGGCTGTCCGTAGAGTCCTGAGACTGGAGGGGGAGATGGACGACCAACCGCTCTTAAACCAGGGGACGGCCACTGAGGAGGACCGTTCGACCAAGCTGGATAATGTGGCGGAGGAGGACCAGCGAGATGAGGATGTGTATGTGGTGCTCCTTCAATCGGAGGGCGGCCCAGCGCGTAGACGTTCGGCGGTGGTGGAGGGAAAGGCGGCTGGATATTGGCCATGGGCTCCGGTGGCTGTTCGGTCGTCGCGGGCTTTTCTCGAGGTTTGACTTGAGACGGCGACGAAGGGGGGGTCCGCTTCAGCACATGGCATTTGTGGCACTGGTGCATAGTGCGGTCTCTTCCATCAGTGATCGATGCGAGAGCGGCGCTGTCGGCAGGCTCAACCTTGACAACGCCATTGCTCATGATGGGTTCGACCCGGGCGGGTGCTTGGGGATCCGCATGCACTCCATTCGACACCGAAGGCTGTTCCTGCGCGACGGGCCACCACTTGGGGCTTACTTCCACGAGACAGGTACAACACTTTTTCTGTCTGCCGCTCTTGTCCTTCGAGCTTTCGTTCGCCCTGGACTCGCTCGGCCCTTCGTCAGAGCCGAGTGGCGACTGCGCTGCGGGCGAACCTCTTAAACTCGTACTACCAGTTCCTTCGGGGTGCGCGATTGTACCATTTGGCCGCCCATTAACGGTACTAGGGCGTCTCTGAGGAGGCTGAACTGCCGGCGCCGAGCTTGCAAGATTCGTTGTAAATTGGGCTGCCCGTCGTACGGTCCCGGTGACAGAGTTGTCTACCTGTTTATAAGTCCGGGCGAACAATTGCAGGGCAGTCAATCCACCTTCGGTGATCTCCAGCATGCTGTGAAACTTGGTCGCAGGCACATGGTTCGGACACCAGATGGCTGCACTGACTTGTCCACTTTCCGAGTCGAGTTTCATGATGTGCACTGAGTCGCGTCGGCTGCCCTTGACTGGTTGCACGTCGAAGCCGAAAATGTATTCGGCTTGATGTGCACATCCGACGTGGAAGTGATTGTTGCAGTTGGCCTGGTGGCACTTGACAGTCGGCAATCCGGAGACTTTGCAGATCTTGCAAACAGGCTCGAATCGTTCCGGTGGAATGAATCCCACGCCTTCAGCATCGTCAAGCAGCTCAGAGTTGCCAAACTTGATTTCTTTGGTCCATAGAGCGCAGGTGATGTGAATCCAGTTGTTCCACGCCGTTCTTTTGAGGGCTTCGCGAGGGTTGACAGGACGGCCGGCTGCTTCTTGCTCCATGCGCCACCTTCGACTAGCTTCTTGAATAATCTCTCGCTCGATCCGTTCCTTCTCCCGCTCTCGGTCCGTCTTCTTCTTGTGCGAAGATCTCAGAGGTTCCATCAGCTCCTGGGCGGTATACTTGACAGGACAGAGCACACATTCATAGGTTGTGGATACCTGAAGATTGTGGTCGTTCCTGCACATGTCACAAAACCATGGCTTGGTGTTGGTCTTGTGCCCGACACCATAACATGAACCATGGACATGAAGTCTGCAGTCCCGGCATTTGAGGAGCTCCTGGCCAGGCACATCGATGACACGGCACACGGCACACGGATGGATTTTGACCTTGGGGGGGTCCGGTTCGATCGGAGGCGGCTCTTGCGGTTTCTCGGGCGCCTTCTTCTTCTCTGGGACAGCATCTGGAGTGGCACGCGCCCCATCCTTTTCTGTCTTGCCTTTCTTCTTCGGCGGCTCTTCGGGTTGGATGATATTTTGTGGGACTTCGAGACCAGCCTTGTTAACCTCATCGACCGCTTTGGGTGGGAGAGGATCTCCTGACATCTGATGTGCTTCGAGAATGGTCCGGAGAAGCTCTTCGTCGACCTTTCGTTTAGCGGCCCTGCTCCCTGAAGCCGCAATTTTCTTCGACACTTCTTCGATGTCCTCGTACTGGATAGCATATTTGCGCCAGAGGTAGGCACATCTCCCGCACAAGGCCAATGTACACCAACCGCTCTTGTCCTTGCTGTTCTTTGAAGCTGCATCTTTGGGTACGAGGGTGCCCGGTGCTGTCGCTGGCGCACGTCGCCATTGCCGAGAGTGGTGCGTACCGCAGAACTTGCAGGAGAATCCACGTTTCTTCTGTGCCGCCTTTTCGTCGTCGAACGCCGAATCATCGTGGTCGTCGGCAACATCGTCTAGAAGCTTGCTAGTATTGCCATCTTTATCTGCCCGTTTTGTTTCTTTCTTCGAGCGTCTACCTTCAAAATTGCCCCAGATCTGCCGGCCTCGATCAGTCTTCTTCCAGGTGTAGTAGAAACGGACGATTCGGGATTCTTTGATGTTGCCGACATGCCGAGCCACAGCATGTAGCTCACTCCCGTATTTTGCCACGCCTTCCTCGAAACGCTTGATTTCTTCTCGAGTGAGCTCAGGCTGTTTCAGGTCGCCCCTCGGGGTGAGTTCCGTCATCGATCTAAGCGCCTTTTCGACATCGTAATTGTGTTCCTGCAATTTCTCAATCGCCTTGGTGAGGAAATCGACAGACGAATCGAGCAAATTGTACCTCGCTGCAATCGGTTTGACTCTTTTCATGTAGTCATCCACCAGCTGCTCGGCGTCCTCTGGTCTCGCGCTGTCGTTACCACCTCTCTCTGGCAATTGGTCCGGTTGTGGCATCTTGAACAGTAGTTGAGCGGTATACTCCTTTTTACCCTTGATCTCAATAGGTTCGTCCTGCCCTCTAGCAACATAACCGACAGGCTCGTCGATAACCCATTTGGGACGTTTATGGCTTTGATCTCTGTCCGTGTCGGTACCAGTATCCTTGGATCCCTTGGCGCCTTTGAAATGGTGGGCATTTTTGTATTTCTTCTTGATCTCGGCGGGTTTGACCAATTCGACAGGACGCCCGTGCCAGATATTGACGTTGGCTTGATGACGAGGACCAAGTCGAGAACTGGCTCGAGGGTATATCCGATCATCATAATCCAGGGCGTCCTCGACTCGCGAATGGATTCCAAGATAGCGCCATGGCCACAGGTTCGCTTGCGCAATCTGTTCTTGAGTGGGTTCTGGATGATGTTCAGGAACAGCGCTACTGTCGCGCGTTGCCTTGACATGGTTTTCATCGTCGTCCTCGTCCATCGGGTCATCATCGGTTCCGAGTCCGACCTCAGAGCCCAAGGGTGTGTTTCGGGAATCCATCCTGAGCTCCTGTGCTCGGCTACAGGCAGCGCAAGCCCAAGCAAATCCTCTGGCAGGCTTTTTGAGTAGCGGCGGTCTGACACACTGCATGTGGTACGTTCTTTTGCAGACTGCGCAGTCGACCGAGTCATGATTGCTGGCAAATTGTTCACATTTTGTACACTTCTTGCTCTCGCTGGTCAACTCACGACCTCGACCGATCTCGACCAAGACAAACTTCCATCGTGAGTCGAGGACCGTTTTCACATGCTGAGGGACATTGACAACCCTGCTGGTAGGAATGACTTCGTAGTATCGGTGCATGTACCGGTCATACAGTTTGTCAAACCAGAACGAATCCGGCTGGCTACGGTATTCGTCCATATTAGATATCTCGGCGAGATGGCGTATACTGCATTTCCCTCGAAGTGAGGTAAGAGGACAAGTGTCTGAATGCATCGAAGCAAAGACGACCCTTGTGTCTTGAACCCTCCTAGCAATGTCTTTCGGTCTGTAGTACCAGTTCACTCGGATCGCGTCGACAGGACCTTCGGGGTCGTTCTTCGCGTATAGGAACTCCATGATTCGCGCGAGATAGTACGGTTCCCCCGGCGGCTCACAGATTAAGTAGACATGGTCTAAATATCAGTCAGTACAGTTGCTAAAGACGTTGAAGCTGGAGGCTCTAGGGTACCATTTGCCTGAATCGCGGTGCCATCATCTGCGACCAGTTGCTTCTTCCCGTTCAATTTGCTCCCACCGCGTTGAAAACTCATCATGTTTGTCTCGACATAGCCTTTGAACGGGACGGAAAGTGTAGGTTTTGCACGAGCATTGCTCGCCGACGCTGAGGTGGCCGCCACAGTATGATTGCTGCCCGGGTGTTTCCTTTTCTTCGAGGGCGCAGGCGCGGGCGTGGGCGTGGATGCGGGCACTGGGGTAGTTATGGCTGCAGGCACGTTGTCGGCGGGTTTGTCGGACAGAGTGCTGAAGTTCTCAGATGCAACCCCAACACCCCCGGGCAGTTGATCGCCTGCTGCGGCAGAGCGTTTGCTTGACCGGATGGGCTTGGACAAGGCCTCGATTTCTAAGTCCACCTCCTTGTCTTCCGCATAGTTGGGGCGGGAGCCGCCTGTCCTATTTCTCGAGCGTGTCCCATAGCCAGATGCGGCGTTATCGGCATTTTCAAGTGCGGGCGGCAGTAAAGAGGAGGACGACGAGGCGGTGGCGGTCATGGGTTGTGACTGGGAGTTTGTTTCGGAGGGCAGCACGGTGGTGTTCTGGGGTGGAGGTGAGACACTTCGACTGCCATTCCCCGATGCGCTTGCGTTGTTGGACGACGCATCGGCGGGCGGGCCGTGGTCCAGCACCTCTGTCACGACTGGAGAATCGATGCTCGACATGGCGGGTCAGGATGCAGCCAGCGGGGACAGTCACATCCATCAGCGCATGGTGATCGTGAGTACAAGGGGGCCTGGGTGGCAGATGGCACAGCGAGCGTAGCTCAGTCTGCTTAATCGGGTGAGGAATGTGTCCGCGCCAAAGAAACGAGGCAGCAGTGACTTGGAGACGGCATGAACAGCAAAAGCGATGACGATATAGTCAAACGTCTGCGGTCCAGATCTCAAATCGACGAGGCGAGGCGGTCGCGAGGCGTAGGGAAGTGATGACCGAAGGAAGGAAAGTGCCGTGTGGGCGAAGAGAGTCAGGACGAACGTGAAGATGGCACGCGCCAGGTGCGGGTCCTCGGGTTAGCGCCTGGTGGTTGGATGCTTCACACCAAGAAATGAAGTTAAGCGTGCTCAAAGGGTGACAAGCACGAAAAGACAAATCCGCAGAATCACGGGCCTCGGGCGAGACTTGAATGGAAGGCAACCCTCGGGGGGATGAAAACAAAGAGTAGCAAGAGATGGGGAAGGCTGAAGTGGAAGAACGAGAATGAGAGTTGACGGGGAGTGGGCAGGAATGGGCAGGACAGACGAAAAACGTAGCAGGCAAGCATGAGGGAGGGAGGAAAATGCGGCCCAGTAGTAATCGAACAAGGTTTAGTCTGGAGACTTGATAGTGTCCTGTGGGAGAAGACCAAGTGACAAGGGAGGAAGCCCGGCTGTGATAGGGCTACGATGCAGCACCGGGTCAATGCCGAGATATTATTGCGAGTTTAATAATGCTGGAGGTAACTGCGGCGGATGAGCTAAGAGCGTCTGAGCCTGCCAACACATGGATTGGGCCTGAAGGGCCTCAAGAGCCCAGTCATCCGGTTCCGAGGGCAGGGCAGAAACAAAGGCAACGAAGCGGTCGTGGTTGCGCCGTTGAAAGGGTAGGGCGCGCTTTGCCATGATGCTGAGAGAGTTTGGCTGAAATCCCAGGACTCGTAATGGGGGGACTAGGAGCCGGGGGGACAACACGACAGTGGGTGAAAATGTGGACTGCGGTGTGTGACAAGCGAGTGGGTAGGCAGGCAGTCAGTGGATCGTCATCTGCAAGGCAAGGAACCGCTAAAGAGGGATAACTTTGAGCGCGAACGTCAACTTGAACCAGACCGGATAAAGGCGTTTTGAAGTTGGAAGTCAGACACAAACGACGCAAGTTTAAGTAAGATAATTGACGCGATAGGCTGACGACCCTAACCATGCGGCAAAACTACTTCAGGCACAACGGTTCTGCGTTGTATCAGTGCAGGCAGCGCTCTCCTTCGAACTCCAGGCCTTTGCGACGGGCATGAATCTGGTGGCCACTTCACCCGCATACTTTGAGCCCAGTATTTGAGCTTTGTCTTACTGTCTCACGGACCACCTGCGTCCACGCACACTGGATCTCTGGCCCGGCTCGGGAAATCCATGCGCAGAAGCGAAACACGGTATGTCTGCAGGCACCACATATCCGCATCGCCTTCTGATTTGCCCGCCGACATATTTTGGTGCTGATCAGAAGTACGAAGAATTCCGGCGCTCTCGATGAGAGAGGGCAGAGGAAGAGATGAGGTTCGTTCGGTGGCGACTCGCACGTTGGAGCTGCATCGCCCCACAGGTTAGTGCCGGAGTCCTTGGCATCACCTGACCAGCTTCTCCCTTAATTTTGACCACATCTCTTCGTCGTTGTTGCTTTCTCTGGCCGTGATATAAATCCAGACAAGCGCCGGCAGTCTCAGCAAAGACCGGCAGTACAAACATTGACATGAGTTTACCATTCTGCAACCTCTTCTGATCTCATTTTCCGCTCTGTCCATGTCTCACGGCTACCTGGTACCGACGTGCTTATGACTTCGAAACAGCTCCGCCCGGATTTTAGAACGGCCGCTTGGAGCTGAATCTCCCAAGGACTTTCCACGCTCAACAGACCAGAGCGCTACCTTGTCGATGCACTAAGCACCGGGCTCCTTTTAAATACCATCATGCAGGTTTCGCCCCACGCTGCCACCTCATAGCCGGTCATCCCGCTGTCCAATGTTGGAATCGCCGTAATTGCTTTTCCGTCTAGCTATGAGACCAGACCGGAGCGTTGCAGCATGGATGTTGTGTAGAAATGCCCTGAAAATGCTTCCCTTCTGGCAACATTGGGCAGTCCCAGCTGGTTTGAGCGTACCAGACACCAACCAGACGGGCTTCACGCCCGATTACCGCGGCAAGTCCCTGCGCAAGGCAATTCAGCCGAGCTGCAGGCGTGATTTAAGGTTTGAGGCTATTCCATATTCAGGGTCGACTCCTTCTGAATGCCGCTTCTCGCGCATCCGGCTGCCTTGTTGATCGGTACCAAACACCACGCGTCTCTCATCAGCATCTGCCGTGCCGGAAGTGGTGCTCACCGTTGCTGGCCCTCGTCTCAATTCATTACATGGCGGATGGCGGCTTCATGGCAACAGTTGGCAACGTCATATGGCCAGAAGACCTCTGTAGACTTAGCTCGCCAGCAGACATTCAATACGACGACGGCCGCTGGCGTGAAGCGAACCATCGACGAAGTCCAGAGCGCCCAAGATGACCAGCTAGGTTTGCCAATCCACCACCGCACTGCACCACACAGCGCACAGGCGCCCATCCATCTCGAACTCCATGAGCACCGTCCTCCCCGTCTCCAGGCAAGCCGAATTGTCTCGGCCGTGGGAAATGGCACTCAGGCTGCCGTCCGATCGACTGCAGCGCCTCTGGCTGGTACAGGATCAACGCCAGGTCCGTCGCAAAATCCGATTCTGAGCCTCCGCCATCCCCGGTACGGTTTGCCTGACAAATTGGTGGAGAACTTCGAGGCCCTGGGTGTGCGTGCCATCTATCCTTGGCAGTCGTCCTGTCTGCTTGGCAAAGGACTCCTGACTGGAGAGCAAAATTTGGTGTACACTGCTCCGACAGGCGGCGGCAAGTCCCTCGTGGCGGATGTGCTTCTCCTCAAACGAGTTATCGAGAATCCGACGAAGAGAGCGATCCTGGTACTCCCTTACGTTGCACTCGTGCAAGAGAAGCTCAGATGGTTGCGCTCGCTGGTTGACGGTGTCTTCAAGGTCAGTGACGATATGACCGACGGTTCTCCACCGCCAACCTGGCGGCGGCCAAGCACAACTGTTCGAGTCAGCGGATTCTTTGGTGGAAGCAGGTCCAATGTTAACTGGTCAGACTGCGATGTAGCCGTCTGTACCATTGAGAAGGCCAACTCGCTTGTGAACACGGCTATCGAAGAAGGCAAGCATGATGACATCTGTGTTGTGGTGCTGGACGAACTACACATGATCAATGACGAACACCGGGGATACCTGATGGAGATTCTGGCAACGAAGCTGATGGCCTTGGAGACGCCGGAAAGCAAAGTCCAAATGGTCGGCATGAGTGCTACCCTACCGAACCCGCAGTTGTTAGCACAATGGCTCAAAGCAAAGTTCTATGTCGCAAAGTACCGTCCCATACCAGTCGAAGAACATCTCGTGTACGAAAATGCCATCTATCCTACAGCGAATGCAAAAGAATTCTTCCGCACTGCGAATCGATTGACCACTAAGGACGCGATGTCGACACCACGACCGCAACCCGCGAGAACAATCCAGAGATCAACCCACCACGAATTAGAGAACCCTTTGACCAATGCTGTCGTGGCACTAGCGGCCGACACTGCCCTTGCCGGTCACGGCGCTCTGGTATTTTGCAGCAGCCGCATGGGCTCCGAGAAAACTGCTCTGTTGATCAGCGACGCATTGCCTACTGATCACGTCGACCAAGATACCCTCGACAAACGACAAGATCTCCTCGCGTCACTGCGGGCTCTTCCAGGCGGTTTCGAACCTTCTTTTTCCAAGACAGTATCCTGCGGCGTGGCCTTCCATCATGCAGGTCTCACCACAGAAGAGCGAGAGTTAGTGGCCGAGGCATATGACAAAGGCGTCCTCAAGGTGATGGTGGCGACATGTAGTCTCGCAGCTGGCATCAACCTGCCTGCAAGGAGGGTGATACTCAACGGAGCTCGGATGGGCAGAGACTTGGTTGGTCCTGCGATGCTTCGACAGATGCGAGGGCGAGCTGGTCGCAAAGGGAAAGATGAAGTCGGGGAGACCTACCTTTGCTGTCACAAGAACGACTTGGAGGCTGTCGCTGCGGTGCTTGAGGCGGAGCTGCCTCCGGTAGAAAGCTGCTTGACTCCCGAGAAGCAGGGAATCACCAGAGCCCTACTCGAAATCATTGGCACTCGAATGGCTTCCAGCAAAAGCTCAGTGGATGACTATGTTCGATCTTCATTGCTTTGGCGCACGATGGACCATGCCCAGGTGCTGGATATGGTTGAGAAAGCGATCGGCGACCTCAGAGCAAAGCACTTGATTCAGAGCGGTCAATATGACGATTGCTTCGAACCAACGAAAGTGGGCATGGCCGTTGTTGCATCCGGACTCGGTCCCGAAGATGGGGTGTTTGTCCATTCTGAGCTGCGCCGCGCCCTCGAATCGTTTGTAATGGACGGCGAAATGCACATATTCTACCTCTTCACACCGGTGCAGACGGCTGGACTCGCTGAGATTTCTTGGTTGACTTTTCGCAATCAACTGGAAGGTCTGGATGATAGCGGCATGAGAGCGATGCGACTTGTGGGTGTCAATCCTGCGTTCGTCAATAGACTGGTGAATAGTGGTGGAGAGCTCAAGGAGAACACGGCGGATGAGATCCGCCTGGCGAGGGTGTACCGGAGGACCTACTCGGCTTTTCAGCTCCGCGATCTCTGCAATGAGATGCCCGTGCATGAAGTCAGTCTCAAGTATTCTGTACCTCGAGGACAAGTCCAGACTCTGTCTCAAACTTGCCACGGCTTCGCGGCCGGCATGATCAAATTCTGCGAACGAATGGGTTGGGGGATGCTTCGAGCTGTCCAGGAACATATGCTTGACCGACTTCATGCAGGAGCCCGAGAAGATCTGCTGGAGATGGCGCAAGTCGCGTTTGTCAAGAGTCGCATGGCTCGCATCTTTTGGGAGAATGGATTCAAGAGTATTCGCGCTCTCGGCGAGGCGGACCCGCAAGCTTTGGTGCCCGTCATGGCGCAGGCTCAGGCGAGGAAGATGAAGCTGCAAGGTGCGGCTGCCACTAAATTCTCTGCGACGCTGCTCTCGAAAGCCGAGATTATCGTCAGCAGTGCGAACAGGTTATGGGTGAAGCAGCAGATGGCACAGTGGGAGGAGGAGTAATGAGCTGGAACTTTCGTTGCTCCCCAGCTCTTGTCCGATCCAGCAAGACAATTGGTCCGATCACCACCCTTTCCCCAATGAGCTCCGACGACCACGATTTGGTGCCTTGCATTAGCCCTTTTGAAGGTTTGGGACAAAAGCTCTACTGGGTAGGGCCGCGTATGCAAGCGGTAATGAGTGCTTTCCGATTGTGGACCAGTCGATGTCAGGTATTGCTGAAACTGGTGAATCTGAGGGTGAAGATATGGAGCACTGTCCCTGTCCCTGCCCGCTTTCCAGCTAGGTCTGCGAGCGAGGCGACCACTCGTTCACATGATATCATCCTTAATCGGCATTGAAGTTCTCGCCGAGACGCCGACGAGCTTGTGTCCCAGTTTCTCTCCAACATTACGGGCAGGCCGGGAGGAGGCGGCTGCATTGTCTGATGGCTTGCATATCCCGGGAGACCAGCGCAAGATGACAAATGGCTAGGTTGCGTTCTGGATCATACGATGTTCGCCTGTTTCAACGAGGAAGACCAGCAAGAGAGCAGCGCAAGAAACTTCGGCTGCCTCATGGAATGGCGGATGACAAACGGGACATGCGAGTCGCTGGTTGCAATTCCGCACTTCGAAAACAGCAGCTTTGCCGTCATTGGCTGTGCTGGTGATGCTTTGGCAATCCTGTGTCAGCTTTTCATAAGAGTCTCTGCAGGGCCCCTCACCTCCCCCTAGGGGTCGGAGAGCCGGCGGGCAAGCCCCCCATTAGCGCCCATTAGCCTCCTGAAACCTTGACCCGGTGTTGGTGCTCGGAAACAGCGCGGCTGTCCGCACTCGTGCGCAAGAGGTGGCCCGGCGTGGCACGGTGCAGTACTACCTGAAGTGCAGTCTACAGAGGCGATATCATCACGACTTCCAGAGGCCGATGGAGGATTTCAGGGTTCGTAATGCTGCTGTAATAGATTTTTCAGATGCCGCAGCAACGGACCACTCCAGTGCTTTGACCCCTCCAGGCATGCCTATCCTGCTTCTGTAATCAGCAAAATAGCCGCCGTCCCTGGCGTCATTTCCATGCCCCTCTGCCCCACCTGGCCACCTAGCTACAAGTGGTAGTCCTGCAGCCCGCAGACCTGCCCTGCGGGGTGTCCGGACCATGCACCTGCCTGTTGCTCTTTGACACCTTGGGTTGGATTGGTAAAGACCAGGTAAGCTCCGGCTCAGGAACGACATTGACCGTGTTTCTACCCAGTACGAGCTAGGCAAGTGGCTCGGTTAGATGTACGGACTGGGAGAGAACAATACTCCCTGCCTCGCATGAAGGTCCATCTGGGCAAGGATCCAGAGGTCGAGCTCCATCCCTCATCACATCACTTGACGGGAAGTCACCACGAATACAAAAGGCTCGAGGTGTTTCCCCCCGTCGTCCCGCCCTTTCTACTTCTTGTCTCACACCCAGAATCACCTTCGCCTCCGTCACAGTCCGTTGCTTGCACAGCTCATATCTCATTTGCAAACCAGTCATAATGGCTCCCAGAATCGCTATCATCTACGTATGTCTCCTCCTATCGTTGTCCACGATAGCCTTCTCGTCCTGATACTTCAGTACAGTCACTAACCGCTGTTCCTGGATCCGCAGTACTCCATGTACGGCCATGTCGCCAAGCTAGCTGAAGCCGAGAAGAAGGGTATCGAAGAAGCCGGCGGCAAAGTGGATGTCTATCAGTACGTCCTCTGGCAACTGCGGCAAGAGCAACCGCTAACTATGACTCGTGCAGAATCGAAGAGACCCTCAATTCCGAAGTCCTGGGCAAGATGCATGCACCTCCCCAGGACAAGGCTGTCCCCTTCGCTACCCCCGACGTCATGAAGGAGTATGATGCATTCCTCTTTGGCATCCCAACTCGCTATGGCACATACTCTGCTCAGTGGAAGACATTCATCGACAGACTCGGCCAGCTCTGGCAGTCTGGCGCCCTGTTCGGAAAATACTTTGGACTGTTCGTCAGCACTGCCACTGCTGGTGGTGGCCAAGAGACCACCGCTATCACAGCTCTCTCGTCCTGGGTTCATCAAGGCATGATCTACGTTCCTCTGGGTTACGCCACGGCCTTCCCGCTCCTGGCCGACTTGAGTGAAGCTCGGGGAGGCAGCCCGTGGGGTGCCGGCACCTTCGCTTCCGGCGACGGCTCACGGCAACCTTCGCAGAACGAACTTGAGTTGGCCAAGATCCAGGGCAAGTCGTTCTACCAGGCCGTTTCCAAGGTCAACTTCGCGTGACTAGATGGCAGTGCCCAAGACGCCAAACCAGCCGCTGCCGTGGCCACTACAGAGAATGGTGTCAAGGCAGCCGAGCAGGGCGCAAGAACAGGAGCAAGCACGACGAATCCGACACAGCCAGGGCGGCCGAACGAGAAGGACGAGGAGGGTGGGCCTTGTGGCCTCCCGAAGAAGTGTGTCATATTATGATGGCTAGAGTGTGGACGGCAGAGCGAGGTTGTGTGAAGCAGCAATAGAATTGAGATCCCCAAAATCAATGATACCAATCCGTTAACTACTATATTCCAACTCACCTTGCAAGTCGAATGTCCATGAACATAGCTCACCCATAGCTGTTCGCTGCTGCTGGCTGACTCAGCGCATCATGATTTGCCCCCAAAAAAGTGTGCGGGTGTGCAGGCCGGCCGCGCCTAGAACCCGCCTTCCCCGCCTGGACGCGGGCGCTGATCGAGCCGACACAGGGACAATGAAACCTGCCATTTAGAGCCTGGGGTCAAAATTGGGGTCTCCCGCTAAATTACTACTGGGTATGCAAACATGTGACTTTGACTCAGGGTCTAACTGGCAGTTCTCAGTCCCCCGCGAGGCACCCAAGGCACCCGAAGTTAGGCAGCAACTTCCAGATTGGTCGCAAGCTAGCCTCTCGAAAAGGTTGGTCCTCATTGTCCTCAAAATTGAAGAGACCATATGACGATTGATCGGTCTCGTGTGAGGATACCTGTAATTTCCGTTGCGCCTCAGTAGCAGCAGCCCATCCATGTCGAACACGGACATGGCAGCCGCGATGCTGGCCACGTATGGCAGTTACCCTATTGCCAGCACTTTCGACATGACAGACTCGAGCCCCGGACTGCACGAGTCAGAAGTTCCTGCTTACAGTGCTGCGTTCGACCTTGATTCCTCAGCCAAGAGGCATGCTGCGTGCGATGAATGCAGTGCGTCACAAGCTACGATGCTATCCGCTTGTACTCATGAAGATTGGCAGGAAAGCGCAAGCTGAAATGCTCGGGCGACCCTACAGGATGCGAACGATGTGTCAAGCAGAAGCTGACCTGCCACTACTCGGCACAGAAACAGATGGGAAGACCGAGAAAGAGACAGAAGACTGGCGACACTCGGAACAACGATGAGGATCCTCTCATACGCTTGCCCGAGTCGACTAGTACTCAGCCGCAACACCCAGTCCACGAGCCTCCTCCAAGCGTCCCCGAGCCCGTCGTCGACCCGGATTTGACGGACAAGGAGATTGAGCGCACAAACTTCCAGAATATATGCAGTGCTTCAATGGCTCAGACCGTCAAGCGAAACGCGGCCGAGGCACGGGCTGCTGCGGGAAGGACGGTTTCCTGGGTCAAGAATAACAACGGAAACGTCCAGCCAGGCTCACAGAGCTCGAGCAATACATCCCCTTTTGATGTACCGCAGACACCTGCCGAAGGAGAGGACTCCGCGAACACGACGCTCTATCCGACAGATGTTTGTCAATGGCCTGACTTCAGCGACATGACCATGCTACCGGTGGTGGTGACAGACAGAAGTGAGCGCGAAAAGCCATTTCTCGCAGGGCAGGGTGGCACAAACCGCGATCCTGGGCCCATCACAGGATCGACGCCCTACTCAAACTACCTCTCAGGACTTGACGTGGATCCTAGCACAATGGGGCAACTTCCCACTGTTCCAGCTTGTCCATGTCTACCCAACCTATATCTCACACTCTCCACTCTTTCCACTTTATCTGCCTTTCCCGTCTCGTCAGGTATGATTGACACACTATTGAATGCTCACCGCACCTGCCGATCCGTCATATACTGCGCTGTGTGTCCTCAGAAGATGCAGTCTGGGTCCCAGAATGTGTTCTTGAGTACCATGCTGGTCACTGTGCTTGCAGACCACTGGCACCGGGTCAAAAGGGCCGGCGCACAAGAACTGAGACTCGGCTTCGGAAGCACTGACCCCGAGTCGATCGAGACTATTGCACCCATGGGCGTCCGCGACGATCTTGAATGGCGCACGTTCGGATACCACTTAATCAGGGCATTCGTCTTCGGCGACCATCCAATTCCCGACCCTCCCAGCTCCACCACATCATCCTCGAGGAGAAAACCGCAGATCTTACCTACCCACATCTCCTCCGAAGACAGCGACGCCTCCGCGATCTACACACTGGACTCGCTCGTGCAGGCCCTCGAGCGGCGGCAGAAACAATGGCACGACGTGGAACCATACCATACCTCACGGGAATTCCCTCTCAGGTTGGGACAAGATAATTTGAATCCAGATGCCCTTGCTCACCCGCATGGATTGCCAAGGGGGTATGCACCGGGAATGACGTTGGAGGACATCAAGAAATGCGAGGATGCGCACCGGGCTAGTGGCGGTGCGGACGAGGGGCTGTTGTGTTTGAAGATTGTGAAGCATAGTAGGATTATGATGAATAGCCTGGAGGGAGATGTTCCTAGGGTGGAGGGCTGATTCCATTCGCGAAGCCGGAGTCATCCAATGGAACGGGAACTCTGCTACTCGTACATAGCACACAGGCCCGAATGCCAGTCCGCTTCAAGACAGGTATCTGTTCTGTATACTCACGCACATTCGAGCTCCTCATCCACGCTGCGAGGTCAAGCTAACCAGGTAGCCGCTGAGCAATGTCCATCGCCGTGAGAGTGCCGCCAAGACACTTGCCGACGACAGCGTCCCTCTCTGACTCGGCCCTTTCTACCTCGGTGCAACTCGGCTACCACTGAAACATCTCCAACGTCGAGGCCACGCTTCGGAGTATGCATGAAATAGACATGATGACCGTCCTCTCGCTCGCCCAGGCGCCTCCGCGAATGCAAGGCGCATTGTCATGCCAGCATATCTACCGCCTGCGTCAACACCGCCATTGACTTCGCCGAGATGAACCCCAACCCCACCGCAAAGGCAGGGTCACGACATGATCTTGACGACGTCTCGCTGGGCCGATACCTCGCAGAGTCGAGATCGATACCGGGTCTGAAGGTACCGGTTGCGACGACCAAGATTGGTTACGGACAGAGCAATCCGACTTATTTTGTCGACGATGCCGGGTAAGTGAGTGAGTGAACGAGGGTGAGGGGTGGTAGCCCGGCGGATAGAGCGCTCGCGCTGGCCGCCTCTAAGGAGCGATGCTACATTCAATACCCTTTCTCTTCCCTGCTGACTCAAATCCCGACACAGAGGTACTCGCTACATTCTTCGCAAGAAACCCGCTGGGACGATCATCAGTCCGGTGGCCCACCAGGTGGATCGCGAATACCGCGTGCTCAAAGCCCTGGGAACTGTTGACGGGTTTCCTGTGCCGAAGGTATATACGCTATGCATGGACTCGAATGTCATAGGGACGCCGTTCTATGTATGTCCGTCTGTCCCTGGTTCTCCCGGGCTCCGTGGTCATGTTCCGTCCCGCGTTGACCTGGCGCTGCAATGAGCCCCACAGCGAGGCAACGTGCCATGCTGACAGGACCGCGCCCGCGTAGGTCATGGAGTTTGTCAAGGGAAGGATAATTACAGATCCGGACCTGGGCGAACTGTCGCCCTCGGATCGAAGAAAGGCGTGAGTTCCCGTCTACCCTTGACTGGCTGTCCCCGGGGTGACATGTAACGGCCCTTGGTCGCTCACCACACCGTGACGACTCGAAGGTCTGTACTGATATTCTACGTTCTACCTGTGTTAGTTGGATCTCCCTGGTCGAGACGCTTGCCTGGCTACACAGCATTGACCCGGACGCCATCGGACTGGGCACGTTTGGCAAGAAGACGGGCTTCTACAAACGGCACTGCAATACCTTTTCGTGAGTCTTTCTAAGCGGCCGCTCATCCAGGCTGGCATTCATCCTCTCTACGATTCACGCGGCCGTGCACTCTCATCCCATCACTAACGTCATGCAGCCGCATAGAAGCCCAACAATCCAAAGTCAAGGACGCGAAGACAGGCAGGGTCCTAGGCCGAGCGCACGAGCATTTCGACGAGATCATCGACTTTGTCAGGCATGAGATGACCAGCGAGAGGTATGCCGTCGTGCACGGCGACTTCAAGTTTGACAACGTGGTATGTCCTAAAGTCCATGGTTCCGATCCCCGATTCCAACTCTCGGCCTGCTTGTGGAGCGGGAGCCATGCCAAACCAACCGTTCAGTTACATAGTTTTCTTGTTCTCGCTATCTTCTTGTCCTCACCACTCACAACCCGTGACGATAGATCCTCCACCCGACCGAACCGCGCGTGATAGCGATCCTCGACTGGGAACTGTCGACGATCGGCAACCCGCTCATGGACGCCATCTACGTGATCTCGCCCTTCTGGATCGACTTCCACAAAGCATCCCCCCACGACCTGTCGCGTGGCGGCGAGAACGGGAACGGGAACGCGAACGCGAACAGCACATCCGGCGGGCCGCCCAACGTCGGCATCTCCAACAGCACCGCGACGTCCTCGCCGTACGCGCCCGCCAACCGCGCCACGTCCGGCATGCCCGACCCGGACGAGCTGCTCGACCGATACAGTCGGATCACGGGCTTCGATCCGCGGCGCGAGGGCCACCCGCCGGGCAAGGACTTTGAAATCGCAAAGATCTTCCACTACGTGCGCGGCGGCACCATCAGCCATGGCATCCAGGCGCGCACGTACGCGGGCCAGGCGAGCAGCGATTTCAGTCACGTCTATTTCCAGAATACGCGCAAGATGCTCGACGCCGCGTGGGGGATGGTCAGGCGCATGAAGGGCCGAGGGGGTGAGGGAGAGGGAGAGGAGAAGGCGAGGTTATGATCAAAACCTCGAGGGGGTGGAGGAGCCAAGGGAGCCAAAGGAGCCAAAGGAGCCAAAGGAGCCAAAGGGAGCCAGAGGGAGCCAGAGGGAGCCAATGTTGGATTGAGTATAAGTACGAGTATGAGTATGATGATGACCATGATGGGATATGGCCATGCCATACCATACTTTTCACGGCCAGCCATGCCGGGTCATCCCATGCCAGGTCAGCTCATGCAATGCATAACCAGCGTCGTGTGCTCTGTAGAGCTGCAGGATATGTGCGCGTAGGTACAGTCATTGATCTGGATTTCACCGTGGATCCGCGACTTTCATGGCGATGCAAGTTCTCGCTCTATGGAGATTACTTACATATGTCCATATATGTATTTGCCGATCCGACGAGACCCTCCACCGTACATGCATGCATGCATGCAATGTAATGCAATGCATCTTAGCCTACTCTATTACTCGTAGTCTTGCCGGGATGTTCAGTCGCTACGAGAAGGTTGTCGATGTAGGTGGAAGCACGCACATCTAGAACGTGCTGACTCGGGGGTAAAATGTGATGATACGAGCATATATATCGCTCCTAGCGACCAGGGCCAACTAGGTGTCAAGGGGCACTGAACTATGTACTGTCCAAGCAAAGAATGCACTCAATCCATCCTTCAACAGAGAGGCCACGGTTCTCTTCTATCGTGTCGACAGCAGATACTGTACAGCAACTTGGCGGATGTCGTCGGCTTAGGGGCCTTCCCTAGCACTACACACTCACACAGCTGGGGTTCGAAAACGTGTTGTGGGGCTTAGGTCTCCATGGTACAGTAGGTGGAATGTAGATATTCCGGAGTCAGAGCCGGAGGCGGTAATTGACTAGGTTGCGTATTTAGAGAGTTACAGCCGAGAGGAAGGCCAGGCAGCCAGGCGCTCTCCCACCCCGTTCATGATCATGACCGGAGAGTTCGCTGGTAGTGGCAGTGGTAGTGGCTTTGCGTCGCTGGATTTGCGTCGCTGGATTTGTCTGCCCTGCCTTGCCCTGCTTTGCCCTGCTCTGCTCTGCTTCGCTCTCCTCCGCCGTCTCTTTGCCAATTGCCAGCTGTTTGATATCTGAAGTTCTTTCCACCCAAGTCCTCAGACGCAGACAGCCAGACAACAGACGTGGCGCCTCAGATACAGACGGCACAGCCACACCGCTGTAATACACACACCCACATTCGGCACTCAGATGTCGTTGTGGAAGGTCGGCGGCTTCTGCCAGGAGCTGTTCCTCCACTGGATGCCCTTGAAGCGGAGGAGGACGATCGGAATCATGAACACAATGTGGATCATGGTGAATGTCAACCACGCGTACTGGAATTGGATTTTTTCGCCTAGTGGGATGCTGTGTTTCAGAATAAGTTGGTTAGTCTGGTTTTCATCCCATCTTCAAGCCAGCTGATGTCCATGAGGTCGACACGGATTTGGTAGGTACTTACGCATAGAATGAGATTGTCATGGAGAAGACGTTCCGGAAGACATTGAGAATGCTGGAGATTTCGGAACTCTGCGGTTTGTAGCACTACGCAATCCGTATGTTAGCTCAATGGCCCCGAGTCAGAGGCTGGTCAGCCAAACGTACATCTGTACAATAGGTATAGGTAACCGTCGTGGCGATCTGCAACCCGAAATTTGCGATCCCCATGCCGAACGCCGCTCCCACCCACGAGGTTGTTCGGTAATGCGACAAGCAGACGCCGTCGATGATGATGCCGATGGGGCACAGCGCAGCCAGGGCAAGGGCATTGATACGTGGTTCGGGCTCCCGTCGACCCCCGTGCCGTTTCGCGTACCGGTAGACCATCCAATCAGTGAGCCAGCCGGCATTCATTTCGCCGATCAGACAGCCGATGAGAAGCGGTATACTCAGCAACATGCCGGTCTGGGCGACGTTGAAGTGGTATAACGAGCGGAAGAGTTGTGATCCGGTGGCGGCGAACATGACAGATCCGAATCCAAAGGCTGTCATGTAGTAGAGGCCTGGGACCACAATTGCGACATACTTCAGCATGTAGAAAGGTCGCAGGAAATCGCTGAACTTCAATCTGCGGTCTTGAAGCGAGGATTTGCGGAAGAGCAGTAGATCCATGAACGAGCGTTCTCGTTGATTGGCGATGGTTCGGCGCGAGTAGATTGTTTCCGGAAGGCAGAAGATGGTGAATATGCATGTGCCAAGTTGGATGTAGCCCTGTGCAGGAAACCCCAGTCAAAACCACTGTACAAAGAGAGTTGTCGTCGGTCAAGACTTACTGGAATTAAGAAGCATTTTCTCCAGCCCAGATTCTGAGCGATGAAACCACCGAACAAGGACGCCGCATGCGGTCCGTTGGTGAGGAAAAACGTAAAGATGCCCATGTAAAAGCCTCGCTCGTGCATGAAGTACAAGTCGCAAATCGTCGCTGCGCCGATGGCGGTGGGCGAACCAGCTCCGATGCCGTTGAACGCCCGGGTAACCATGATTCCAGTCCATGTATTGCAGTATCCCGCGGCGATATTGGTCACGGCGGCTAACAGGTTGCCCAGGATGTAGACAGGTCGTCGGCCATACACGTTCGCCAAGGGCACTGTGAACAGCGGCCCTATGCCGGCGAAGACAATGTACACCGTAAGTTCATAAGAGGCCTGGACGACGCTGATATTGAACTCCTTGCTGAGTGGCACGAAAGCTGGATTGACGATTGCACCTGCCATAGGCCCGAGAAAGGCAAGGAATGAGACCTGGAGGAGCACGAACAGTTTGAGAGACGGTGACCAGTTCTGGCAGCTGTCAGTCGGAGGTACAATGCTCAGGTAAACGCTGTGGTTGTCCACGTACCAGAGGATCGTCCTTCCGGTCGGTCGGCTGCGGTGAAAGGGGCAGGCCGTGCTTGTCGAGCTTGAGATCTCCCGTCGCTTCTCTCTGGACGTCAACCTCTGCAGCATTGTCGGCTGCATCCTGAGAAGACCCCTTGCCCTCCTCCATGTACATGACTTCCGCTTTGCTCTGTGAGGACTCCATCTCGTTCCGACTGTGGCAGCGATCAAGGTGAGGTGAGAGAGGGTGGCTGACAGCGGCGATGTGGGATCCTGCCATAGATTAAGAGCGCCAGGAGATTACCAGCACATGGCTACCTACCCATGGGTGCCATGGCCACCCCACCGCCGGCGTGTCCTCGCACCCTCGGTAGTTTTCTCGCCAAGGACCCAAGGCGCTGGGAGCCCGCAACAACAGGACGCACCTTCCCAGACAGGGCGCCGAAGGCGTGGATCTGCATGATCGGTAGTTGGATAGAGGCGCACGCGCAGTGGTTCCTTGGTGGGAAATGTTGGGGTATCTTGTGGGGGATCGAGACGATGAAGCGGCCGTATGAGCCTCGTTGTCCCCTGGTGCCGCTCTTCCCCGCGACCGCAGCTGGATGAATCGGCAAATTATTGTGGCGCGACTGCTCAGCGAGGTCAGGAAAGACGATCTGGTCGCCGGGCAAAGCTCCTACAGCCCGCAGTCGTTGTCGTAGTGACTTGTCGCGGGTGAGGCAGTGGAGAGAAAGTACGGAGTGGCAAGCAGGACATCTCTCCAGCTCGTATTCGGGTCTCTACAAGCCTTTTCTCCGCAGGCTTGATAGTCTTGTTCACCGGAAGGCGCACCAGCTCGATCCTCGGCGGAGACCCCAGCATTGCCCAGGCTTTATAGTGTGGGGCACGAAGACTACCAACTATAGGCTCTTGACGCCCGGAAGGGTGGCACGGGTGGGTGGCAGTCATTTGCTTTGAAGTGTTGGATGGTTCCCTTTATGCAACTCGAGACTCTACCAGAACCATTACAATTGTATACTCTCGACGTCCTTGAGTGAATACGCGACTCGAAAATGCCGTCAGCCATCGATCGTCCCCCTTTGACTGTCGCCGTGATAGGCGGCGGCATTGGTGGTCTTTGCACGGCTCTCTCTCTTCAACACCATTGTGGAGATCTCGTCGATATCGATGTTTACGAACAAGCTCCGCAATACAAGGAGATTGGCGCGGGCGTGGGCATTGGCGTCAACGCCGCAAAGCTGCTGCATAAAATCGGCCTCGGCGAGACAGTGTCGCACATTGCAGGTAAACGTAGCGGCATTTGGATCATGTTCCGAAAATTCGACGACGGGTCAGAAGTCGTGACGGTACCCTCGGTCGACACAGACGAAGTCAAGCAGTTACCAGTCCACCGAGCCGAGTTCCTCGATCTACTGGTGGACGTCGTGAAACAGCGGCGTGCGGCAAGACTTCATACCAACAAGCGTTGTCGGAAACTCACAGTATGACCGTTGCAGCACATCTACTTCCCATCTGACAGACGCGCAGGAACAAGGAGACGAGGTTCTGATCGAATTCGAAGATGGATCCATTGCAAAGGCGAATCTGGTGATTGGTTGCGACGGCATACATTCTGCCGTCCGAGCACAATTCACCAGTGACAACCCCGAGTACAGTGGGAGGATCGCATATCGAGGATTGGTCCCGATCTCCGAGATCGAGAGTTGGTGGGGCTTTCCCACATACTCTGTGACATGGTTAGGGAAGAATCGGCATTTCCTGTGCTTTCCCATATCGCAAAACAAGACTTTGAACATCGTGGCTTTTGTTGCCGAGGACGAGGAGAACCTGGGCGACCTCAGGGAGAGCTGGACGGAGATCGGGAAGAGAGAGGACGTCTTCGAGGCATTTGAAGGATTCGAGGAGAGGGTACAGAAGGTCATCCAGCTGATGCCCGAACAACCATCCAAGTGGCTGATAAACGACCGGAAACCGCTCGATCAATGGGTCTATCTAGGTGGCAAGGCCGTGCTTCTCGGGGACGCTGCTCATGCCATGACTCCCCATCAAGGTCAGTCTTCACACTTGCTTCTAGTTAATTGTGCTGACACAACATCCAGGCGCCGGTGCAGGTCAGGCTATCGAGGACGGATACATTCTTGGCCGGGCACTCCAGGACTACTTTCAATCTTCGTCTCCAAAAGAGGGCGCCCTCGAGGCTTGGGCTAAGCTGTACCAAGACGTGCGCCTTCCTAGAGCACAAAAGGTCCAGCGCGGGTCTCGTGATGCTGTTGAGATATACCAAGCGCAGGCGGATGTTATGAAGGACCTGCCTTTCGACGAGTGTGTGCCAGAAATACACAAACGGGTCATCAACAGGATGAAGTGGATTTGGACCGACGACATCGATGCCGAGTATGACCAAGCAGTCAAGGCTCAGAGGGAAGCAGGGACGCTGTAGACTATGACAGGTTACGATCACGGTTTTGAGGCGCAGGAGAGATAGATTACGAGGAAGGTCGTTTTCCACCCATCTCTGTCACTCCTAGCCTGGTACACTTTGCCCAGCCACGCAGCCACGGCTTATGTAGCACCTCGGCTCAAGAAGCCAGAAGCCCGAAGCCCGAAGCCCGAAACCCTCTCAAAAGGGGTAGGCTCGAGGATGGTCGTCCGAGTCATAGCTCGAATGTTGTCCAGCTCTTTTGTAGGATGTCATTTCTTGTTCACCTCTGTTGCGATCAGGCTTAAAGCACTGACATCGGACCTAAGCACCCAACCGGCAGGAGATCCAGATTTCCTCTTTATGCTTGATGTTGGGTAGGGCGGAAGGCGAGGTTGACAGTAGTACCCTGGCCAGTGGGAGCACCGGGCGCACGTCCAATAGCGGCAGCTCTGGTAGCATCCCGACCAGTTGCAGCTCCAGAAAATCGCATGCCTCACATCCTGGCATGAACGCAACTGCCTCTGGGCGCGGGATCCTCTGCACAGTAGTCTCAGCAGACACCAAATTGTCGAGGTAGTAGTTTTGCCCATCATCCGTCCACTTGGCCACCTGCCGGCCAAACCTGTCACGTCCTAAGTCGCCCTTGCCGCGACCAGCCCTCCACAGTCTGTTGTAGTAGTCTTTCCACGCTTCTTGAGGATCCATATCAGGCGAACGAGGCAGCAGCAGGTCGACCTGGTCTTCCCAGCCAATGTGCACCTTAACCCTCAGCTTTGTTGCCTCGCCCTTCAGCACATTTCTGTGAAACCAGCGCACAATCTCTTGGTCCTTATCTCGCGTCGCAACATGGAAGCTTGTGTGCTTGTCGCCATGTCTCGTGCCTGCTGCCGTCTCTTGAAGAACAAAAATTGGCTCGAACTGGGAGTCGCGTCGTCGATAGAGGGTCTTGAAAACCCCGCCATCGATCATTTGAAGGCCACTGCGAGAACAGAGATAACCATAAAGCCGCCTCGTGGTCGCGGCTTCCATAGCGGAGATCCTTATGTTCTCTGTAACCCACAGGCCATTGCCGACGAGGCGACCCTCGATTTCAACATCCTCGGGATTGCGGTCAGGCATCCTAGAGGGAAAACGAGTGGTAAGAGTGACGAGGGCTCATACGACGGTCAGCAGGCAGTAGCATATGTGAAACAGATAATACCAGCGGCCGTACCTATGACGTGTGCTTTGAGAACTCTTGTTGTCTGACCTTGAACTTGTGCTGCTTGATTGAGTCGTGGTCGAAGTGATACTAGAGAAGGTTGAATGTTAAGCAGGAGAGAAGAAATATTCCCACCGAGCAGCCCAAATGTGCGGCGCCGATTCACCATTTGACGTGAATACCTTTCCCAGCTTCACTTCCGCAGCATGTGGCCCATATTCACTCACAGTTAATATGGATATAGGTTGAACCAGCAAAAATTGTTCCTAAATCACCTCCGAGTTCATCTGGCGCTTCATGACTTACGCACTCGAAATATGGGTTTCGGCCCGAGAAAAAAACACTGTATCAAAGTTCGCATCAGGAGTTATTGGTCGCTCCAACAGGAAGACGGCCCCCTCCGCTGAGGCATTACCATTACCTCTGTGTTAGCACTGGTGTGCAAGTTCGACAAACACAGATCCCTTCCTACGGGGGTCTCCTCAGTTGGGTGTGGTGCACGCAGCACCGTCTTCCGCCTTTTTTTCCACCTTGAGCGGAGGTTCGATTCTCGCTGGTTTCGCTAGAGTGCCATTAGTTTTAGGCCGCAGTGTACGAAGGAATAGTGTGTAAGAACAGCAGTGTCTGCTCCTTTTTTCCTGCCTCTGCACATCGTCTCAGCTCCCAAGGCGGCAGAGCAGCCCGCCACGCAGAAACGCTGTGGTGACAGATGACATCCTCGCGATGTAGGCAGCCCCTGTCTTAAGTTCGACGTACAGTCTCGATGGTCTTCGCGCTATCGAAAGATACCTACCAGCGTGCCATCCGGCCTACAGCCCGCTGGACTCAGCATCACCCATAGCAACAGCGCGAGTACGTTTGCCATCAAGCTATCCTGTTCTCACAGACAGGCACTTTGCAGTGGATTAAGTCAGGTTTATATCGATGACACGACCTGTATCGCCTCCGAGCGTGTTCATGAAAGAGGCTGTCGCGCTCTGCTCGCAGTGTTCCTCAATTCACGGATGAAGTCCTCTTGATTGCCAAGGCCGGATACGGTGAGCCTTAAGTCTCAAGAGCGAAGAAACCGGCACCTACGGTGGAGTGAGCAGCCTCTTCATCCGCCATCCAAAATTTCGGGAAGTTCTCCAAATCAATTGCCTGAACACGAATTTTTGAGTAGATCGGTGAGCGCTAGGAGCCCACCCTCTTCGCTTCTACGAACACTTCCATTCTCCCACACTGACCTGGTTCTTCAGACAGGAGCAGCAATCCTGCGTTCACTGTCGTCATGAGTAAACACGCCCTTGAAGATGCGACAGCCGCCTCCTCGCACGCAGAGCGAGACAGCAAACGCCGCAAGAAGAACAAGGACAAGTCCCGCAAAGAAAAACTCCGCCTCCAAGACATAACGCCCCCGTCGACCGAAGCCACCGCCTCATCTACACCCGTTCCGGAGGACAAAGACAAAGAACAGGATTTCCACGAGGACGGAGCCGAGTCATATCAGCCTCATCCGTCGCTGAGCGCACTGCCGCAGCAGGAGATCGACGCCTTCTACACTGCACAGGCTGTGCAGATTGCAGATCCGCGCAAGAGCGATCTGAGACCTATCCTCGCATTCTCGCACCTACCCACAGCACTGGGCTCCCAGTTTGGGAGTATCGTGTCTGGGTTCCAGAAACCGAGCAGTATCCAATCGGCCGCGTGGCCGTTTCTCCTCTCTGGACGGGACGTCGTCGGCGTGGCGGAGACGGGGAGTGGCAAGACATTGGCATTTGGGCTTCCCCTCGTGGTGCGTCTCGGAGGGCTCAAGAAGAAGAAGAAGGGGATCAGAGCCGTGATTGTCGCGCCGACGAGAGAACTTGCCATCCAGGTGTTCGAACAGCTTGACAAGTTGTGCAAGACCGCCGAGGACAAGAAGCTGAAGGCGGCTTGTATCTATGGCGGGACAAACAAAGACGAGCAGCGCCGGTCGTTGAAGGATGTGAACATCATTGTCGCAACGCCTGGACGGTTGAAGGATTTCATGAGCGATGGAACCATCGACGTGGCCAAGACCCGCTATTTGGTTCTCGACGAGGCGGACCGCATGCTCGACAAGGGCTTCGAAGAGGACATCAAGCAGATTGTCTCGCAAATGCCGGGTTCGAAGAAGAGGCAGACGGCGATGTTTACGGCTACGTGGCCGAAATCGATCCGCGAGCTGGCTGCGACGTTCATGAACGAGCCTGTCAAAATCACCATTGGCCGCGACGATGCCGATGACACCGGCGAACTCCGCGCCAATACCCGGATCGTGCAGAAAGTCGAAGTCATGGACGGGGCGCTGAAGCAGCAACGCCTTCTACAGCTGTTGAAACAACATACCGCAGGGAACAAGAGGAATGACCGGATCCTGGTGTTCTGTCTGTATAAGAAGGAGGCTCTCAGAATTGAGAACTTCATTCGCACTCGGGGGCTCAACGTTGCTGGCATCCACGGCGATATGTCCCAGTCAGCCCGCATCAACAGTCTCGAATCATTCAAATCTGGCACCACGACCATTCTCGTCGCCACGGACGTGGCTGCCCGAGGACTGGATATTCCCGAGGTGAAACTCGTGATCAACGTCACATTCCCGCTTACCGCCGAAGACTACGTCCATCGAATCGGCCGAACGGGTCGGGCTGGGAAGGACGGCCTCGCAATCACCATGTTCACCGAGCAGGATAAGCCCCTGGCCGGAGCATTGATCAATGTGTTGAAGAAGGCCGGTCAAGAAGTGCCAGAGAATCTCTTGAAGTTTGGCACCACGGTAAAGAAGAAGGTGCATAGCGAGTATGGTGCTTTCTATCGAGAAGCCGAGGACGGGGAGAAGAAAGAAGCCACGAAGATCACGTTTGACGACTGAAAAAAAGCCCCAAAAGTTCTTTGATATGATACTGGTATCTTGTGGTGTCATGTTGTCTTGGCCTTGGGTTGTTTTGGGAGGCGTTTCTTCAAGAAGCTGGGAATTTTGTCAGCGAGGCGTTGTGGGAGGATAGACTGGAGCATTCCCAAAAGGAAGATACCGTCGGTGTAGAGCCTAGACATTGACGATTCAGACTCGGTTAGAAAAGCCTTATGCATGAAATGAAAAGACAGACTTAAACAAGAAGAACAACATAAGCAACGGGTAACGGGCAACTTACATCGTAGACACCAAGACCACAGCCCCTGCCACCCAGACTCCAAGACCCCGGACACTGATTTCGCCAGTATTGGCATCACGAATCGTCATACCCAACGGTTGCGAAGACGCGGTGGCTGCATTCACCACGACCACCCCGGCCAGAACCGCACCCGCGTTGGGCATCATCTCGACGACCAAGCCTCTCCACAACCCCTGCTGGCCCGTTTCCTTCTCCTTCTCCGCGACCCAGGCCCGGACATACCGCACGCTCCAAGCGATCCGGAGGGCCATGTTGACCATGTTCGCGCCGACCAGCCCGACGCTGCCCATCCTCCACACGTCCATCATGGCCCACGCGGTAGCCGCGTAGACGGCCGTGAAGGCCAGCATCCACAACGACTGGCTGCGCAGCTGTGCCGGCGTGGCCACGGACGTGACGAAGGCGTCGAGGACCCCGTTGACGGCCATCAGCGGGATGTAGTAGCAGTACATTTGCAGCAGGGCGACCGTGGCCGGGGTGCGCCATTGCCGCGAGAGGACAACGGGGACGAAAGCGGGAAGAATGGCGGGCGCGAGCGTCACGAGCGGGCGGGCAAACAGGAGGTACAGACGGAGCGTTGTCGAGAGATACCCTAGGGCGGCACGCAGCTTGTTGGTGTGGTGGGTATTGGCGTGGCTGGCCTTGCGCGACTCTGGTCTACTTTCGCCAAGGTTATCGCCGACTGTATTGGACATTGACGTCGACGTCGACGTGGTCCCAGAACTCGTATTCTCGACGGTTGCTGGGCCCCGTGCAAGAAGTCGTCCGAATGCGTTCCGACTGCTTTCCTCTACGGGCTGGAATACCAGCCGGGCTAATAGACCGCCGTAGTTTGAGGCTAGAGCAAAGGCTCCTTGATCGGCGAGGGACGACAGGAAGCTCATGATCAGAGCGTCGCCTTGTGTGAGAAGCAGCTTGAACACCGATTGCATGTACATGGTTGTTGCCAGGGACAGGATCTCTTTGTGGAAGAGATCCAAGTAGTAGTGGTGGGAGGAGGAGGAGGAGGAGGAGGAGGAGGACGACGACGACGACGAGGAGGCTGAAGCTGTTGACATAGATGACCCCAGCAGTGGTGGTGGTAGTGGCGTGGGAAAGAGATCGAAATTGTCCACTTTGGACAGCCGCAATACTGGCAGAAGATACAAGCCCAGCAGAGTCGTGGCGTAAGCAGCCTGTCCGGCGGCAAAGGGTAAGATGGAGGGAGCCACGCCTCGTCTATGTCCCAGCAGGACAACGGCGCAGGCTGCAAAACATCTCGCCATGGCGGCACTCGTCTCTGCGCGGGCCCTGTCCCGGAAGAGACTCCTCTGTTGGAGGACGACGAAGGCCGGCTCGGCCAGCAGTTCGATGATAGTCGCAGCAGCGTATATCTGGAAAGATAGGTAGAAGTAGGGACTGTGGAGAGCCTCGTCCGCTGCGCCCCGGAGGTACGAGTAGCCGAAGATGGTCGAAATGCCACATCCCAGGAGAACCGCCAAGTAGGACAGGTTGACCACCGTTTGGGTCTCACGCTGTCCAGCAGTTCCTTGGTCGCCTGTTGTCGAGGTTGACTCCTTTTTCTGCGTGGCTGATGATGGCGGCTGTCTCTGCAGTGCCACCCGCAGACTCTCCCTCGCGAAATACAAGCATGTCACAGAGACGAGCTCGAGCTGAACAGCTATGCCGAGTAGCGAGGGCGACAGGAAGCGTAGCAGAAATTGGTTGCCGACGAAGGTCAGTCCCCGGGAGGCCACTTGGACCAGAATGAGTAGAAGCGTTCCGCTCGCTGCTTGTTGTGTATCAGCCATCCTAGCTGGTCTCGTTGGGGGAGTTCTTCTTGCTCTTCCATCTGTCAAGCACGTTTTGTGGTTGGGAATTCAGCGAACATCGGCCGGCTCAGCGTCAACTTGACTCTCGGTGACAAAAGACAAACTGTCGCCGCTCGTCAACTGCGTAGCATTGTGGACGAATCAGTCAAAAAGGTCTTGCGATAATCTCCTAGGTTTCACGATGTAATCACTGCCCGGTGAGCGTGCAGTGACGAGACAGTGGGATAGTTGGCGAGGAGAGACAGAAGAGGTGGCATGTTCTCTTGTCTCCACAAACCGAAAGGCCCCTCCCTCATATGAGCAGCTGGATCGAAGTGCCCTGGAACGATTTAGGACGTTGAGCAGCGTGGGAACTTGTAGAGTTCTCAAAAGAAGCGAAATCCATGTGAAGAGAACAGATTCTGCAGTAGACCTTAGGAGTTGGCCATCCAGCTTCCCTCCCGAGCGACTGTACAAGAGACGAGGGAATCGCCATTGATCTAGCAACCGATACAATCCGAGCCACTGTGGTGACGGGCCTTGTCGTGGCCAACGAATACCTTGAACCACGTCTTGGACAGGGCACAGGAAGATTGATTCGATGGCCTGGGCCAACTGGAGACCTTTTCTGGATTCCCAAACACTGATTCTAGAAGCCCGATTGCGCCTTTGGCCATGCCCATGTCGCTGCCAACCTCAAGAACCATGTCACCAACTTTGCAGCGCAATGTTGTTACACTTTGAATCCTTTTCTCCCTGCTGAGTTCCATGCTCATACCTCATCCACATCCATCTTCTCTACCACAACCAAACTGTCCGAATCACTGCCACTACCAATCTCATGCACCGTAGCATATCGGCCAATCTCCTCCTTCGTGATAAACTTCTCATTCAATACCGCCGTCGTGCCCCGGGCGAACTTGTAATTGCGTTCCTTCTTCACCCGCTCATTCGGCTTGATGTAGTTCCTTCGCAATTCTGTCGGCTTGTCCTTCTCGATCACACAGACATCGACGTTACTTCCCGAGCCCAGGTCGTTGAAGATGCCCGCAAGGATGGCTTCTGAGCAGATTTTGACGGCTTCGTCTTTGGTACAGTTCTTTTTCCACGTGGATTCAAAGACAGACATGGCGGCCAGGGAGCCGGAGCCCATGGTCACGTAGGGGAGCTTGTCTGTTGAGCCGTGGGCGTGAACAGTGAAGAGACCGACCCCCGTAGGATCTACACCTGCGACGACGAGGTATGCACCGATGTGGCCCTGGTGGCGGAAGAGGTGCTGTTTCAGCATCGTCATGACGGTGACGACACGAGGTGTTCGGCCGGTGGATAGAGAATGTAGTTCGAGGTTGGAGGAGATGAGCGCAGTGGTGAATTCAGTGTCTGCTGCCGTTCCGGCGCCGGCGCACCAGATGTTGGGAGAGATGAAATGTAATTTCTCGCAGTTCTGTTCGTGTCAGGAGAAGATCATTGTACTGATGACTTCCAAAGGGTCAACACACCTTGTCGGCAACTATGGGACCACTCGTTGCTCGCGTATCTGCAGCAATCTACCAAACTCGTCAGGGCCTGCAAAGACAAAGATGAAGAGCACCACGGAATTTCAACATACCACGACCCCGTTGTCGTATATACAGCCCACGATCGTTGTACCCGTGCTCGTGGCTTTGGGTAAGGGTACTCCTCGTGCGTGCAGGGCAGCATTGCGATTGTAGTTACTGAAGTCGAAACCCGGCATCGTTGCAGCGAGGCGCGCAGCCTTCAATTGGATGGTTAAGAGAGGAGGATTGTACCGTGTTGGTTGACCGTAGCGCTATCTAGGTTGAAATTGACGCTTCGAATATGCGAGTCTGACTGTCAACGCAGAGGAGGACCGCGTCGATAAGGGCGGAAGCTGGATTGTTCGAAGTGGACGGTCAAGACTATCAGCGCAGCACTTGCAAGGCAGCTTTGAGAGACGCAACCGCGCCGCGAATGCTGCCCGTTGATTGGGTCGGCTTACTAGCCTTCTCGAGCCCAAGGCTGAGTGGCAGCCTTGCCGTCTTCCCCATTGGCAACCTTCTCACCTTCTGTACGTCTTGCACAGAGCATCAGCTCAGTTCAAGTACAGTAAATGTAAACCAATTGCTGGAAATCGTTGACTGATAGAGCTATTGTCTATAACCCAGAAAGACAAGAACCCATAGCCGCCAACAGGGAATGCACACAAATCTTCAGCCGTTAACACTTCCTTCAATACCGTACTCCTCGGTCCACATCCCCCCAAGCCACCGAGAGCCCATACAGTGTAAACATACCCCCACGATCTGCTGCGTTCCTACCAAGATCTACTTAGTTGAGCCGCGCGGCAACACAAGATTCTCCTCCACACGAGTAGCATTACTCACCAGTAGAAGTTCTTTAAGCTGTCGCGAGCTGGTGGGACCGAAGCATTGACGAAGCTACATGACTGGGACGATTGTGTACCATGCCTTGTTCGACCCTGGCAGCATGGGGCTCTTCTAGCATTGCGAGGGACAGCAGGTGAGTAACGGCAGGTGAGTAACGGCACGGACAATCACCCAATCTTGCGGAGATTTGGAAAACGCGAAGGGCATGACGATCGTCCATGGGACACTCAAAAGAACGCTTTTCGGTCTATGATGATACACGCGTCACCGAGAACAGGAATTAAGGCCTCAGATGCCTCAAGCTGCGGCTCCGGAACTTCAAGCAGCTTCAAATGGCCCTCAAATTACAGATGCTTGAATCGACTCATTACCATACCACCCCCTAATTCTGCTGATTCCGTAGAAACGCATTCCACTTCGCAAAGCCCCCGGACGAAGCATACCTAGCTCAGACAGGGGAGGATACAACTGTAGCGTGCAGAGGACTAGGGTACCATGGAAATGCAAAGAGCCCCACCAGCCGCGGTCTCAAGCCATATGATGTCCTTCCTTCTCTCTAGATTCGGTGTTTCTCGCTTTCTGTACAGTGGTTAGTCAGTAGCCAAGTTAGGGCGAGGATCAATCTAGACTTACCGAGCCTGGAGTACAGCATGTACAGCGCCATTTGGTTGCATTCTTGCGTTCCGGTAATGGTTACCAACCTCTCGTTGCTGTTGTCCTGCGGTTCATTGATCTTGATAACGCTTCCACTGAGATGTCGGATCTCATTGATCTTCGCACCACCCTTGCCAATGATGGCACCGACCATATCATTGGGAATGAAGATCTGCTGGGTAATAGGCTGTCCAGGCATTGCATGTGCCGGCTGAGCGGGCTGCCCATGGGCCGCAACCGGCTGAGGAGGCATTTGGCCGTAGGCCCCCGGCTGTGGTGGCCCTGCACCATAGGTCGGAGTGCGCGGCGTTGCGGCGTAAGGTTGGCCATATTGGGGATAAGGCTGCGGCGGAATGCCATGAGCCTGTGGGGCACCGTAAGGCTGTGGGGGCATTCGCTGAGGAGGGTGGGTGTTGTGCCTCTTGTACATGTCTGGATGACCATATTGGCCACCTGCCGGCTGCGGTACATACGGCACAACTTGCATGCCACCAGGTACGACACCAGCAGGACCACCACTTCTAGTGGCATAAGCAGACGCAGCAGGCCCGCCAAAACGTTCGGTGAGTTGCTCGACTAATGTCACTGCAATGTAATAAGTGGCAATGTGAACGGCATCGGCAACGCCGAGGACGACCAGAGATCGCTCTGTGGAGAGAGGTAGGCATGAATCAGAAGCATTGAGACGAGCACCCGAGGCTTCCTGGATTTCTCGGATGCGAACACCTGATTTGCCGATGATAGAGCCAATAAGGATGTGTGGAATGAGTAGGCGGAGAGGATAGGTCTTCGACTGAGCTGTGGAAGCAGCTTCCAGAGGCTCGTTATTGAGTGTGCGAATGATGAGCCCAAACGCCTTTGCAACAGCATCTTGAGCACCACTAACAGTCAAGATACGTTCAACAGCACCCCTCGAATAGTCACTGACAGTGCATTTGGCCCCAGAAAGTCTTCGGATTTGGGTGACATTCTCACCACCTTTGCCGATGCAAGTTGCTGCTTCGGCACTTGAAATGACCGCACGGATGTGGACCCAATTGGTCTCGTCTTGTGGGGGGAGTGAGGGAGCTTGAGAAGCAGCTCGATCGTCTTGAGTCGTTGAAGCTGGAACCTGTGGCTCCGGCACAGGAATCGATGGGGCTCCGTTGGCACTCGTAGCCGCACCAGCCTCGACGGCTTGGGCTTCAGACGCGCCATTCGTGACAGCTGCTGGCAATGGATGTTCCTGGGTAGTTGTAGGAAGTCCACCAGAGACAGCACCAGTCCTTGCTGCGCCATCACTATCGACGTCTTCCTTGACTAGCTTGTCGAGAGCCGGACGTTTTGCTTCTGGCAAATCAGTGGGGGCTGAGGGAGACGAAGGGTCTTCCAAGGGGCGTTTCGACGAAGGCATGGTGGAGGTGGGTGAGGCAGACATTTCGCGTGATCCCAGGGCCGAGCGAAGACGTAGTGGTTTTGTTCAACCTGAGTTTATTATTGTACTCTGTGATATGTACACCAATGAGCTGTCGAAGGAAAACTTGATGGTGTAAGGGAGATCTGAACGGGAGTGCGGATGCCAAACGTGAGGAAGGAGAAGGGTGTGTGCGCGTGCGAGAGGACAATGTCAACGACTCGTGCTGGGGTTGATGGTGGATTGGGACGTGCTGTGCTGCGGGCGCTGGAATATCTCGACTGGGTGCAGAAAAGGGTTTGACCAGGTGAGACTGGACCGAGGGTGTGAGGCGCTCAGCGAAGACGGCGTTGTGTGGAGGATTGTGACTGTGCTGGTGATGGAGGTGTAGGTGTGGAAAGGTAGGATTGAGTAAAGCAACGCTTTGAATGTGGTCTTTGGTTCCAATGCCCTCCTCGTATCCAGCAGGAGAAGGGTGAACCTGTACTTAACTCGAACGCCCAATATCAGTAGGCCGTCCTTGGGATCGCAGGGAGAGGCAGTCAGCGTCTTGACACCGCCGCGACTCAACGGGAAGAGCGACTGGGGTTTGAGATTGAGCAGGCAGCGAGCGTCGGATCTGCGAAAGGATTTGGAAGCATGAGATTGCGACGCGAAAGCCGCTGCACAGAGTTGAAGACGAGGTCGAGCGAACGCAATTGAAAGATGAGGAGAAGCGCAGATGCAGGAGGGAGGAAGAGAGGAAGAGGTGGTTGATGGCTGAGTTTGAAATGAAGTAGGCACCACCGACGGTCTCCTGAGAGTGCAACGAAGTGCGACTTTGCAAGCTTCGACACACGCAAATCTGGGGGCAAGCGACGAGCGAGAATTTGGAGACTCTGGTCCTTGGGAGCACGCTAGGCCTGATCGGTGTGTCACGTGACGTTGCTTGGTCACACACGCCTCTGCCGCGCCCCGAAGAATCACGGTGTGATCGTGGCGGTAATGGGTGAGGGGGCATTACAGGTACCATTGACGCAAGACGAGTCCCTGGTTGTGACTCTTATCATACAAAAGTCTCGAAAGCAAAGCAGCTTGGTTTCCAAGAATATGCCAACGTCGAGTGTCATGCAGCCGGGCCGTTTTGTTACACATCAACCAGCCAGTCTTTTAGTATCCCACAATGGTTTTCTTCCGCTTCTCCTCCAATACATCCTTCAACATGCTTGCCACCGCCTTACGACGCTGTGCCTTTGCTTGCCATCGTTGCATATCCTCTGCGGAGACTGCAGGCAGGCCTCCATTTTGGCTAGTGCGAAACCCTCGCCTTGAGCGTGTGCCGCTTCCCAAGTTCGAGTCGGGGGTATGATAGACACTTCCAGCACTGCCTGGCGTTCCTCCGTTCACCGCGTGTCTGCTGCGTGGTGGCGTCGCCGGCACCTCTGCATCACCGTTACTGATTGAGGACGTCCCTGCGTGCACGTTCAGCTTCTTGAGCTGGGCCTCAAGGACGTCGATGTCTGCACTCTTCTGCTCGGCCATCGACATCATCTTGCCCACAGTCTTGGTCACAGCCTCAACAGTTGGTTTCTTCTGAGACGCGATCCGCCCGAGAGCACCCGATTGCGTGTTTGCCGATGACTGCGCCAGTTTCGCACGAAGGACCGTAATCGCATCCTCGAGCTGAACCATCCTCGTCTGCACCGAAGTAAAAGATTTACGAAGGTCATGCTGGACCGATAGTTGCTCGGCTGATAGAGGAGCACTTGCTGCACCATCAGAGGTTGAAAGGCTGTGGATTGTCTTTCGAATGGACATCAGCTTGTTTCTAAGGTCAAACACCTCTTTCTTTAGGCTAGCTTGGGCTTCTCCAGAGCGTTTGAGATATTCTTCGACGTTGCAGCCTGCGAGCATGCTATACAACACGGCTTGTCCTTCGTGAAGTCTGGTGATATCTGTCAGGAACCGCTCGTCATTCAGCGCGTCCATCGGTGTGTCGGACTTGAGCACACCGGGCCACGACAAATTGGTCGCATCCGGGTGCTGATATTTCATGTACGCTGATAACGACCGGCAGTTTATCCCTAGAGTGTAAACCATTGAGTTGATGTCCGAGTAAAGCCGCTCAATCTGCGCCGGTATGCCACTTTTACTTGTTTCTTCAGGATCTCTAGGCTGAATAGGAACGAAGTCGTCCAGAGTTTGAGAGGGAGCAATCGGTTCGTCCAGTTCCTGTCGCATTCGCTCGTCTTCGTCATCTTCTAACGGGGCAAACTGTTCGGCTTCCGCCTGAGTCTTTTCCCGGGCGAGCGCTTCACGACGTGCCTTCTCTTTCGTCGCTTCCTCTTCCCTCATCCTCGCCGCCTGTGCAGCCAACCCGGACTGCTGGTACTGGGCCTTTCGCTGGTCGATGACTGATCGAGGATGGGCCGGCGCACTAACCGACCTAGAGGGGTCTGGCCGGAGGCCATCTGCAGAGAAGGCTGGTCGGATAGGGCTGGGAGACCGGGGACTTTCGTGCGGCTTTGGCGGTGCGAAAACCGGTGCGGCGCTCACCTCGCCAAACAAGGGTCGAGCAGGTTTCGGTGCCGTAGACGTCGAGGCCACCTTCGTGAACAATCCTCCAGTCGGGCTTGTATCGGGACTTCTGTCGCCACTCTTGAACGAGCTCTCCGGTGAGGTCTGTAACTGTTCGCCTTCTTGCAACTTGACATATTCTGACTGGCTGTCCTCGTCTTCCTCAGCTTCGGCCCCCTCTTCTTCGCCCTCCTCGTCTTCTGGTCCCTCATCTTCGAAATCGGAGCTAAAGTCGTCTTCATCGTCTTCGGGAAGCGCTTGGTTATTTTCGTCTTGTCGTGCCCTGGGCACAGGGAGGAAATCTGGAGGGAGGGGTGCATCGTCTGATGTCGCTTTCGACACATTAGAGGACGCAGAGGTCTCGCCTGAGGCATATCGTGGCTTGCTAACTGTATCTGGCGGTAGAGGTGCTTCAGGGATCTTCTTCATATCAACCAACTCGTCGTCACTTGGTGGCTCCTTCTTTATCTCCGGTGCCGGGCGGATAGGCTGGAAAGCAGGTGCCGGTTCGCTCTTTTGCACTACTGCAGGTGACTCTTGAGCAGATGTCTTTGTCCCGAACATGGCCACGTGCGCGGGATTTGGTGTCTCTTTAGGAGTGGTGGAGGAGAGGGCATTGGACGGCCACCCGGGGCTATTTATTTTGTGGTCTGGCGTCGTCGTGTCCTGCTGAGTTGAGCCGAAGAGATTAGATACTGGCGGTGCTGGAGTGGCCTTCGATTGTGTGAGTGTAGAAGGTGGAGTTACCAGCGTATGCGGCGCTTTCGTATCAGCTTGAGGTGAGAATCCTTGGAATGAGCTATTTGGAGCGTTGTCAGAGTCGGGTTCGCTAGCCGCGCTCTCCTCGTCCATCTCAGCCTCTTTATCTCGAGCTGGAGACACAGCACGCTTGCTTTCTCCAAGCATATCACCAAACGCACTTCCAAAGCTGAAGCCAGGCTCTTTGGGTGGAGGTAAATCGTCTTTTGCACTTCCGTCGCCTGTGAACGACGACTGCAACTTGAAGACGTTGCCAGCTCCGAATGGGCCCGGAGTGTCAGCGGTCTTCTTACTACCGAAGGGAGGCTCTTGAGCGGCGGTTGATGCGAAAGAGGTGAGATTACCTCCAGGCGCCTTGGTTGCGAACGGAGATTGCTGAGCATTATCGCCACCAAACAGGTTGCCAGATTTCTGTGAAAAGGCATTTGCACCACCTGCAGCTGCGAAAGGGCTCTTGTTCTCCATCCCTGATCCCCCACCAGCGAAGGAAGCGAACCCTCCTTTTGAGAACGAACTAAAGCCAGAGCCGCTCGCGCCGGCTGCTGCACCAGCGAATGGACTAGTGACTCCCGAGGCACCAGCAACAGATGCTTGGCCGAAGGAAGGGGTTGTTCCAATTGTTGAGGGCCTGCCAAAACCCCCACCGATTGCGCTCGGCTGCCCAAAGGCTGTAGTCCTACTGCCCATAGCGCTTGGGGACCCAAAGGCTGCCGCTTGGCCGCCCATTGGGGTAGCCGAACCAAAAGCTGGCTGTCCAAAGGTCGTTGACGCTGTTGCATCATTTGTGGAGCCGAAACCCGTACTGGTCCAGGATGGCTTGTCTGATGTGATAGGTGACGAGGCCCCAAATGGCTTCATAGATGGAACACCAAGAGGAGCCTGGGTCGTTTGGGTGCCGAACGTCGAACCTGTTGTCTTGGCAAACGCATTGGCTGTAGCAGGTGTACCAACCGTAGATGTGGTAGTGGTCGACGGTGGAGATGGAGAGGTTGCAGTTGGTGCCGTGACTTGCTTTGCTGCTTGAACAGAAGCAAAGCCAGAAAAAGGAGTCTTCTGTCTGACGGAGTCGTTGTAAATGACCCACCAAGCCACAAGAACACCTTCATTGTTCAAAATGAGCAAACAGGGAACCGGCCCGTCCGTCTCTTCAATTTCGGGATCTGATGGAATCGGATTCGGCACCCTTTCCGAGCTGGACAGATCCACAACCATGCCAACGGGGGAGGTGTCTTGCATCTTTGAGGTAAGAGGAAGCTGGGCGCGCCTGGAATCGTCTTCCACCATGGTGAACGTGAAGCAGCCCTTGACCGGCTCATCTTGCGAGAGTGCCTTGTCGGATTTTGAGACAAGTCCGACATCTGTGGCTGCTGTTGCCGCTAACAGCAGCAGATCCTGAAGATGCGGAGGAAAGTTTCTCAACCTCGAGATGAAATGAAATGACGGTAATCGCTCTACACCGTATGGCGGCAGGACCTCGGGCAATTTCTGGAAGGTGTAATTAGTCGTCTTGGGCTCTCTCTGTACGACGTAATAGTCTGAGGGTTGGTTGCCTTCGCTCGTGTCGGTGGGAGTGTAGATGATGAAGAAAGTATCGTTTTCGAGCCATGAAATACCTGAGACATGCGAGCCTGCGGGTATGCTTGTTGACTTCGGGATATTTGCGACCACGGTTCCATCCGGCTTCAGTTGAACCGCTGTTCCATCGGCCAGACCAGCCACCAATTGCTTGCCTCTATTGCTCCAGGACAGGCAGCTCACTCCGCTCTTAAGCACATTGCCGTCATTTCCTGCCTTGATGGCGCCGGCTTTGAGATCTAAAAGCATCATATCGCCGTTGGTCGTGATGATGGCAAAGAGCTCGGCCGACTCCGCAGTCGGATTAGGCACCAGCGCGCGTAAAGCCTGGCCATCACCAGGGATTTCCAGTGCTGGACTAAGGTGCCCTCGCTGCAAGTTCTCGATTTGGAAAGCCACGACTCCTCCAGTCGATGGCGCGATCACGAGAACACTTTCATCCGAGGAAAAGCTGACCTGGGTGATATGTGGGTAATCAAGCTTGATCTCTGGATTATACGTGCGTGTCTGGCTCTTTTCAGGTGGCGGGGCTTGGAAAGCTTCCCGGACTTTCTTGGTCGAGGTGATGTAGACGGCATCAGGGCCGGCGGCTGCCAGCAAGCCTTTCGCCGATGCGACACTTAGCAGCGATGATGACGGCGGGGGCATGTTATCGTCGGCCCACGGTTGAGGGAGCAGTTGCACTTTGGCCTCGCCATTGATGGCCGCGAAGCCCAGTTCGTTTGTTTGGATCTCCTTGAGTTCTGGTCCATCTCTGACACTGGCTCCTGCGGTGTCCGACGCTGACCCGCCCGACACGGCGTTGGAGAAGCTGAACGCCATTCTTAGCCGCGGTAGCTCCGCCGACAACGACCGTCTTGCGTCAGTAGGCGAGATAGGAGAGGAGACATGCGGGTGTGACGGGCTTCGTCTGAGGGTATGTGTTGAAAGAGAAAAGGAGTGTCGGGGGAGTGCCGTCGGCCTCCAGAAAGATGACGATCTCTTATGTTCAGCAATTTTGAGCGGCAATCATAGAGGCAGGAGGGAAGCGAAGAAGCCTGTGACTTTTTGTTACATGGATGCGCCGTGGGGAATGGCAGTCAACAATTGCATCCAAAATCCCAGAATGGGGCGCGACTTGCGCATTGCGCGTGTCCTTCGACTGCCTTACCGTATCCTAGCGGCCTACTGCGGCGGAGCAAAACTCGTGAGGCAGCAGTGACAGCCGAGATTGTCAGCTTCACGCTCACTTCACATTCTACTTGTATTTGTCTACCAAACTCGTGTAAGGTTACTCACCAAATGATGAACCCAAATCTCGGAAGTCTGACCTTCCTCAAATTTACGACGTCAGGTACTCACCAGACGGCCCCAAGATACCGGATCTGGCATGCTCGCGTTGGTGACTGGGCAAAGAGCTCCTCTCGACATCTTCCCTCAGCTGCAGTCAGGCTGCGGTCGTGACAGCGTGATTCACAACTGCAGACCGACGTCAGCTACCTCCAGAAGGATGCATGTCCCCACGTCCAATGCCTTTGCACCCACTGCAATCATACCACACTGACGAGTTATTCTTCCAATTCGGCTGACTAGATCGAAGCCAACTTCCTGGAACTTACTGCTCGCTTAGCTGCCAACTGCAAAAGCTAAAATCACGCCCAGTCCAGCGTTCCATATCCTCGGGACATCGGCCTTTTCGCGGGTGCTCCCTCATACATCCCAGCTCTCAGACAAGTGTGTGCGCGGCCGAGTCATCAATTCCTGATTCAGTGTTCTTGTTCAGGCTGCGCCCCACAGCCTCCCTTTTCTACACGGTTTCGCCACGCAATCGAGAACATGCTATCGGATCTCCTCGGGCGATTGGTACACAGTACATGCTGCTTGGCTGGATTGTCGGGATGTTGCTGGCATGCTGTGTAGACATCACGGGCATGGGCCACACACTAGACAACCGCCACTTTCTTCAAATCGCCATACTGTAACTTTCCCGCCCTGAGTCTGGTCGGTGCTGTCCTTCGATGACTTGCGGTTCCCGTCTCGAAGTTGTTATGCCTTGTCGGCTTGTTGGCGAAATAGGCGGGCTCGGCGCTGTCTTGGAAGAAGCCTTCTGCACAGCATGTACCAGGACTGGGTATGGAGTACTTGACTTTCTTTAACCGTTTCGAGAGTTGGACCTCGGAATTTCACCGGGCTCCCCCGCAAAACCTGGGGATTCGAGATGCCCATGCGTCCCAGCGTTCCTCCACACCCGTATTCCAAGCCCGAGGATAAAGGTTGGGGCACAATCCGAAAGTCTATTGCCGCCACGAGTGCGTCTCTGACTTTCAGTCTGCTGCATTGCCTCGTATTGACTCTTCGACCTGGCCCTCGCTACCTGTCGTCGCGTGGTCTAGCCCCGTTCATCTTTTCTTGTCAATAAGACTTGGTGCAAGACGAACCATTACATGATGGCCAATCAGGACTGCTTAAGCCTTGCTTTACTGGACCCTGGTGGCTCTTGTATCGTGACTAACGCCTAATGGGCTCGTCCTTCATATTCAGACATCCACTGACAAGGAGTTCAGAAGGGCCTAGGTTTTCTGCGAAATTGATCGGACCTTATCATTATCCCCAGGGGTGTCGTATAAGAAGTTCGTTCATCAGACCCAAGGCGTCTCCCGACTTTCTTTTGTCAACTTCTGCAGTACCACTCCTGCATCGGGGTCTTGAACATTTTTCGGGGTCGAGCTCAGAGCTTCCAGCAATCTTTCCCGACGATGGGGAAACTAATACCCAATGCCTTCAATCTGGCGGTTGTGATCTTCGTGGCCCTGGGATCAACCGCCTGCTCGTATGGAATGGCCATTATTGGGTAAGAAGAACACATCCTATGATCCAAGTTGGTCTGCTAACGTGATCCAGCTCCACCATTGGCCAGCCTAGCTTTTACAGATCACTTCACCTTGCTCCTCAAGGAGAACCTGGATACGGTCGTACTGCTGAATATATCGGTGCTTTCAATGGTACATTGTTGGACCTGATCCGCCCTTACTCTGAATGGCTCCTAACTTTTCTTCAACCAGGTGTGAACTCGGCAGGATCTGCCATTGGCGCCGCCGCTTGTGCATATTGTGCAGATAAGTGGTCGCGCAAGCACACCATTCAGGTCGCTGCCATTATCCTCGTAATTGGGGCCGCCATTTGCGCAGGATCGGTCAACAATGCAATGTTCCTCGTAGGACGTGTTATCAACGGGTTGGGAGTGGGTCAGGCTGAACGGGTTGTGCAACCCATGTTTACTGACAATCGAACAGATTGGTGCTCTTGTCACAGCCATCCCAATGTACCAAGCGGAGGTGTCAACTCCTGAAAGCCGAGGATTCATGGTGTCAATGCACGGGGTGATGTTCGCCATGGGATACACGCTCTCTGCCTTCATCGGGTTCGGCGTCTCCTTCATCTCTTCCGGTGGATCCCCCTCTTCGTTCCCTTGGCGCTTCCCTATCGCGTTCCAAATGGTTCCAGCCTTGCTTTTGCTGGTCGGCTCACCTTGGCTGCCTTATTCGCCGCGTTGGCTCCTCATGCACGATCGCCAGGACGAAGCCCACGAAGTCATCAAACGCCTACACCGGACAAAGAACGATCCCCATGACTCTCTTGCCCGCAAGGAGTTCTACCAGATGAAGAAGCAAGTCGAACTGGACCGTCAAATCAGTGCTACGACTTCAAGGTGGGAGATCTTCAAGACACCAGCGAATCGCAGGCGCGCTCTGGTGGGCTTCGTTTTGATGTGGAACAACCAATTCACTGGTGTCTTGATCATCGCAAACTATGGTGTCATCCTGTACCTCCAGCTAGGCATGACGGACTTCTGGCCTTTGTTGTTGAGCGCGTTCTGGGTGTTGTCTACATTCCCTGGAAACATCTTTTGCGCCTTCTTCGTCGAGAGGTTTGGTCGCAGGAAATTTTTGCTCATCGGTTTGACTGGCATCCTTGTCTGTCTGATCTGCGAAATCGCCATCCAAGCGACTTACCTTGGTACCGACAATCGTGTGGCTCTAAACTTCGGCGTCTTCTTTATATTCCTGGTGAGTATCCTCCTTCACTTCAGACCTCCAAGCTCTTCCGTCAGCGTGAGCTACCCGTACGAACCCTAGCTGACATTTTGGTGCAGTTCATCACACCATTCTGGAGCACCTTCATAGATGCCTCACAATTCCTCTACGTGTAAGTCAATGCTCCGCCACTATTTCGACTCAAACTGCATTACTGCTCCCGAGTGGTTGAGCCTCTGCTAATACCTTGTCTAGCTCGGAGATCTTCCCAACGCACATCCGCAGCCAAGGCATGGCCGTGTCCATGTGTGGCCTGTACCTTGCCGATATTATCCTCCTTGTCGCCGGGCCAATCGCGCTCAACAATATTGGTTGGAAATTCTTCTTGGTCCTCATCATCCCTACAGCGCTACACATTGTATTCGTGTTCTTCATGTGTCCTGAAACCAAAGGGCGAAGTTTGGTAAGAAGGCCAAATTGCCTCCAAACGCGTCATCCCATCACTGACTTTGGGTTTAGGAGGATATCAATGCGCAGTTCGGCGAACAAGTCGCCATCCACTACTACAACGCGACCGATGCAGAGAAGGAAGAATTGGAGAAAGCAGCGCAACAGGATGAAGAGGAGGAAGCGCAAAAGACTAGGACCAGTCTCGGTGAGAAGACTGCTGAGGACGTCCAGGAGCGCGAGGTCATCGCCGCGAACAAGGCTTGAAGAATGGGCCCATGGATGACAGGGGATCGCAAGGAGGTACGGATTCTACGGCGCTGCAACGACGATGCAGTCGCCAGCGAAGTGACGAAGACGTCCGGACTGTGCTCGGCAGAAAACGATACCAGCTGGTAAGGAGGAATGTGGAACCAAGTCGCATTAGATTGGCGGTCAAATCCGTACTATGTACTGTGCAGGACATACATTTATGGTACATACTATGGACAGTACAGTACTAGTAGTACTTACTACCTATATACACACATAACTGCCCTTACAGATACCTATGTGCGGGTGCGATCGATCGATCTAGGACCAGATACTAGTAGGGATCTGGTACTGGTCTGATCTAGATCAAAGGCTTAATCTGTTGATACTATGATGAATCTGACCCCGATCTGATCCGTGTTCGATCTGGGTTGGATCCCGGATCACAGCTACTACATAGGTAATGTATGTATACAGGCCTTCTTCCCCTGTAGTTCGGATGTATCCTAGTGCAGTATCCATGCTGTTCTAATACTGTTCTAATGCCGTATCAAAATTCAGTGCTACAGTAAGTAGTGGCCTTGTTCAGAAGCTCGATCTAGGTTTTGAGATACTACCCTACCTCCTAGAGGTTCTGACTCAGTCTAAAGCCGAGCCGGGTGCGATCTAAAGGCGATTCAGCAAGTTGAGAGTGGATTGAGACCGATCTAGGACCGCTGTGAGGCTGATCTAGATTGCTCTGAGACTAATCTGGAGCGATCTGGGACTGGTTTGAACCCTCCTTAGGCGGACTGTACTGTAGGTTCGAGATAGGATTAAACCTATATAGGTAGAACCTACTGATCCTTCTCGCTACTCGTTTATTAAGATCTCCATCCTTTTACTGAGAAGCGACCCTTAACTAGCGTAATATTTACTGCCCCTAATAATCTTGAGAAGCACTGATCTATATACTGAGATACTGTATAATCCTAGCTCGAGAACAGCTCGAGGAGACCCTAATCCTATCTTAGTCCTATAGTACTACATGAAGTACCTAACCCTAAGGAGTTTAAGTTAGTAGTGAGAAGGTGTCAGAGAAGCATCAGAGAAGTATTAGAGAAGCATCAGAGAAGTATTAGAGAAGCATCAGAGAAGTATTAGAGAAGCATCAGAGAAGTATTAGAGAAGCATCAGAGAAGTAT